TATGTATGTTTTTGAGTTGGTTCAGTGCGTGTGTGTGTGTATATGTTTGTGTATGTATGTTTTTGAGTTGGTTCAGTGCGTGTGTGTGTGTATATGTTTGTGTATGTATGTTTTGATCTTTTTCGCCATGTTCACGATCCGCTGAAGTGTCTTCCTGTTTTCCTCCCCACACTGTGAGGCAACCGGTCAGGATGCTCTGGATGGTTCCTCTATAGCTCTGTAGGCTTCTCTCTGCGGGGAGTACACTAGGTCCAAGGTGTTTTGTCCTCTCGTTGGAAATTTCACGTGTTGGTGAAATTTCAGTAGGACTGTTCTGAGGTTGGGATGGTTGAAGTCTCCAGCAATGACTTGTGGAGACATCCGGGTGTGCGTTTTGTTGTTCACCGACGGCCCGACACAGTTCACAAAGTGCCTCGCTCCTTTAACTGTTGTTAGTGGGACGGATATACACCGCAACTACAAGAATCGCGGTGTATTCCCTGGGGAGGTAGAATTGATTCAGAATCATGAACTCCGTTAATGGAGAGCCGTGTCTGTGTACCACCGTCGCGTCTCGGCACCAAGCATTGTTCGTAGACACACAAATGATTCAGTGAACACAGTCACGTAACAGTTACTAACGGTTTTGTTTGCTGATCTTAGCAACCGAATGTCGTCCGTCTTCTTGTCCAGCGATCTTACGTTAGCCAGGAGTATGGATGGTATGGATGGTATTGGTGGGCGAGTTGGGTTGGCAGGAAGCCTTGTTCCGACGCCAGCTCTCTTGCCTCTTTTTATAGTCAATCAATCAGTCAATCAATCACTTTATAGTCCTGGCACACCGCTTCCGACGAGTCCGTGGTGAAGCCGATGAGTCCGATGTTAAGGGCAGGCGTAGTATTCCCAATTCAGCCAACGTCTCCAATTTTATGTCCAAATCATCCACGCTGCCGTTTTCCTTTCTTAATTGCAACAGTTGCTGTCGGCTGTATTTGCGTTCCGACGTAGTTCCACACAAAAAACATTTCGAAAAACACATCTTAACAACAAAAAACAAACTGCTAGTTTGGGAGAAACAAGGAGTCGCTGCGTATACACGCGCCACATTCTAGAAGAATAGGGTTAGGGTTAGGATTAGAGGGTCAGGGTCAGTTGAAAGAAAAACTGGTCCCTCTCTATGGGCTTCTCCACACAGGCTAGGGTTAGGGTTAGGGCCAGGGTCAGGGTTAGGGTTAGGGTCAGAGTCAGGGTTAGAGTCAGAGTTAGGGTCAGGTTTTGGTTAGGGTTAGAGAGAAAACTGGTCCCTCTCTATGGGTTAGGGTTAGGGTTACGGTTAGAGAGAAAACTGGTCCCGCTCTATGGGTTAGGGTTAGGGTTAGGTAACGCGTTGAGAGGAAATTGGTCCCTCTCTATGGGCTTTTTCACCCAGGCCCCCGGCCCCGCCCTGTGAAAGGGTCAGGGTTATGGTCAGTGTTAGGGTTAGGGTCAGGTTTAGGGTTAGAGTCAGGGTCAGGGTCAGGGTTATGGTCATTAATGTGGGTTAGGGTCAGGGTTAGGGTTAGGGTTAGAGAGAAAACTGGTCCCTCTCTATGGGCTTCTCCACCCAGGCTAGGGTTAGGGTTATGGTCATTAATGTTGGTTAGGGTTAGGGTCAGGGTCAGGGTCAAAGTCAGGGTCAGGGTTAGGGTCAGAGAGAGCTGGTCCCTCTCTATGGGTTATGGTTAGGGTTAGGGTCAGAGAGAGAACTGGTCCCGTTCTATGGGTTTCTCCACCCAGGCCCCTAGCCCCGCCCTGTGAAAGGCCCTGTACAGAACCCTCTTGGCCTCCTGGTACTCCAGCGCCCCCTGTTTGGCCTCCTGGTAGCTGCTGGGCCTCTGGGTCCGGATCCTCAGGCTGGGGGACAGCTGCAGGACGGGGTAGTACCTTAGCACCATCACAACCTAGAACCTATTCAATTCAATTCAATTCTATTTTATCTATATAGCCCCACATCACAACAACAGTTGTCTCTTATCTTTCCAAACAGAGCAGGTCAGACCTACTCTGAAGTTAATTACAGAAACCCAACAAGCAAGCACTAGGGGACACAGGCAAGGAAAAACTTCCTTGAACCTAGTACCTATTAAATTTAAATTAAATTCAATTTTATTTATATTGCGCCACATCACAACAACAGTTGTCTCCCAGCTTTCCAAACAGAGCAGGTCAGACCTACTCTGAAGTTAATGTGGGAGCCATCTTGCACTTTTACTTTGAGTAGTGGTAATTCTGGTTTGTTTGTTTGTTATGAATTTGTTTACATTAGTGATAGTTTCATATTTTGGTAATATTCTTTTTGTAATTCGTCTAGTTAATTGTTTTGCTTTATGTTTAGTCTTTATTTGGTAAATTTACTAATTGTAGTACTTGGTTTTGGACACCTGGGGGTAGTGGTGCGCACAGGTAAGGGTGGATTTAGGTAAGTAATGGCACACACCTGTATGCACCTGGGTAGTGGACACATGTTTTTTTACCAGCGCAAGAGGTTTGCTCATGTGAAACAGCAATAAACTGCCTAAAGGAAAATTCTGCGTGGAATCATCTTTTGCCTGCGTACGATACCTGCCCAGGGTGCCAGAAGTTGCCGTTTGTTTTATTTTAAGTTCGATTTAATTTTCGTTAAAAGTTTGTTTGACAAACGGCTACTACATCACACGTAGCCTCATCTAAAATGAACCTCGTTTTTTATCCGTCCCACTGAAACCAGCTTTCTTTGACCGCCTTATTTTGTCTAAACTTTTCAATTTTTCAATTCAATTTTATTTATATAGCGCCACATCACAACAACAGTTGTCTCACAGCTTTCCAAACAGAGCAGGTCAGAATATACTCTGAAGTTAACTACAGAAACCCAACAATTCCCACCATGAGCAAGCACTAGGCGACACAGGCAAGGAAAAACTTCCTTTAACAGGCAGAAACCTGCAGCACAACCATGGCTCAGTGTGTGGGGGGCATCTGCCTCGGCCGGTTGGGGGTGAGGGAAAGAGAGAAAGTAACAAACTAACTGCTTTAGTTTGTTACTTTCTGACTGGTCTATAGCAGGAAAAGCTTCCAGCTCATCCCAACTGAGTTCTGGTGAGAGTATTTCTCTATTCCATAGAGAAAATATATCTATTATAAAGACTCCAACGACTGCATTGGCCTTAATCATGTCACATTGATCTGATGGATTCCAGTTTGTGGATTTAAATGGGGAATCTTCCTCCCTCTGGGTTCTGTTATCTGCTCTCATTGGGTAGCATTATGCAGATGATACTAAGTTATACCTATCTAATAAACCAGCGGAAAGCCATCAGTTATTAAACTCCAGGCTTGTTTTTGGATCAGAGCTCCTCAGGGAGGAGCTGTGTGGTCATACGGTTCCTCCAGATGGTCTTCCATTGGTTTCTGATTCCACAGGGAAGAACCCTGGAGTCATATATGACCCCAATCCGCATATGGATTGAATGGCCTCTTGCTTGCTTAACTCATTGACTGGCAGCCATTTTCAGAACAGAGACCCATACTGCCAGAGTTTTTTGAGCATTTT